AGTCTTCAACTCTTGTATTTGCTGGCCAAAAATATAACATCAATTTTTTTTTTTTTTTTGGGGTCAAATATACATCAATTTTTTTGTTTTTGTTTTTTCGGATATAACATCAAACTACCACCACAACAAAAGTAATTAATAAATTCCTACATATATATATCAAAGATATATATAAAAAAAATCCGGTACCAACCCTCGTCAGGGAATAACGACGTCATGAAGCCTCGACTTTAACAGGAAAAAAAAAATATCAACAAACACGTACTTTCTGTGGTAGTTGTCTCTATCCAAAGGCCAAGATTCCGCCACGTCATCACTTCCTCCATCGTTAAAAACCAAACTCTCTACACTCTTCCTCTGAAAACCATAATCTTTCCGCCATTGTTTCCGACAACAAACCTCAAAAAACCAAATGGAGATCGAGAGAGTCCAAGACGTTTCATCGTCGTCACTTCTAGCCGAATCAATTCCGTCGGAATTCATCAGAACGGAGAAAGAACAACCGGCGATCACAACTTTCCGAGGTCCAACACCGGCGATCCCCGTCGTCGATCTAAGCGATCCCGACGAAGAAAACGTAATTCGTGCGGTGGTGAAAGCGAGCAAAGAATGGGGGATTTTTCAGGTGATTAACCACGGGATTCCGACGGAGCTTATACAGAGGTTGCAAGAAGTCGGGAGGAAGTTTTTCGAGCTTCCGTCGTCGGAGAAAGAGACGGTGGCTAAACCGGAAGATTCGAAAGACATCGAAGGTTATGGAACGAAGCTACAGAAAGAGGTAGAAGGTAAGAAAGCTTGGGTCGATCATCTCTTTCACCGGATCTGGCCACCGTCGTGCGTTAATTACAGATTCTGGCCTAAGAATCCACCGGAATACAGGTACTCATAGTTATTTATTTTTGTCATCAGAAAAACAAAAAAAAAAAGTTTCAAAAACAGAGCACAAAATAGAACATTCATAAAAACAGAGCACAAAACAGAACATTCATAAAAACACGTAATTTAATTTTTTTTTTTTTTGGTTGCATTGCATGGATTTTTATGTTAGGGAGGTGAATGAAGAGTACGCATTGCATGTGAAGAAGCTATCAGAGACATTATTAGGGCTTCTGTCGGAAGGATTAGGGTTACGTCGTGATGCGTTAAAAGAAGGTCTCGGCGGAGAGTTGGCGGAGTATATGATGAAAATTAACTATTATCCGCCGTGTCCTCGGCCGGATTTAGCATTAGGAGTACCGGCACACACGGATCTCAGTGGAATCACTCTTCTAGTCCCTAACGAAGTTCCTGGACTTCAAGTCTTTAAAGACGATCACTGGTTCGACGCCGAGTATATTCCTTCCGCCGTCATCGTCCACATCGGCGATCAGATTCTGGTCCGTATTGTTGTTTTTATAAAAAA